TTCTGGAGTCAATATTATTTGTCACTCTAACTCAGCAAGTTACATAAGCTAAGCTTATTTCTCCATCTGCAAAATAGACTGAATAACGGAATCTTCCTCCCTCAGACATTGCCGTATTAAATGAGTACTCAACACAGTGCCTAAAACATACTAAGAGCCCAATAAATGTTACTTATATTCACAAAGAGAGCATATTTTATTTAAAAACAATATAAAAACCTAACTTCACTTGCTATATAAGGAATCCTAGTTACCAAATCTGGTATTACAGCATCAAGCAACATTACATGGAAACCCTTACAAATGATGATAAAGAGCTGTTTAGCTCAATTTAAGAGTAACCTGGAGATTCCTCAAAAAAGTTAAACACTAAAATCACCAGTTGACCCAGCAATTCCTCTCCTAAACATACACCCAAAAGAATTGAAACAGGTATTCAAACAAAAGCTTGTACATGAACATTCAAAGCAGCACTATTTATAGTTGCCAAAAGGTAGAAACAACCCAAATGTCCATCAATTGACGAATGGATACATAAAATGTGGTATAGCCACACAATGGAATATTATTCAGTCATCAGAATGAACAAAGTACTGATACATGGTAGAACATGGGTGAACCTAGAAAACATCATGCTAAGTGAAAGAAGCCAGACCCAAAAGGTCACATGTTGTATTTCATTTATATGAAATATCCAAAATAAGTAAATCCCAAAACAGAAAGCATTAAAGGTTGGAGGAGGAGGGAGATGGGATCGGGAGTGACTGCTTAATGGGAACCAGGCTTCTTTTCAAGGAGATGAAAATGTTCTGGAACTACGCAGATGTGATGACAGCAACAACAGTGGAACACTGTAAATGTACTAAATGCCACTGAATTGTACACTTAGAAATGGTTAATTTTATGTTATGTGAATTTTACCTCAATTGAAAAAAGAGAGTAACCTGGCTCTCTGGTGAGCGTTTCAGATGAAGGCATAATCTGAGTCGTTTTTATGTAAGCTTAATTAGGAAAGCACTTGAATTGCTTTCACAGATGACATTAAGTCACATTACAAAGGCAGGCTAAGTCTGAATCATCAGCAGAAGCAGCAGATGTAAATAATGGGGGATGCTGGCCTCACAGTATGGTCCCAGTCTTTACTTTCATAGATGGTACCTTGGGTGGACTTTATCATGGTTTTGTGTGATTTGGAGCAAGATGCTAAGCTTCTTAAAAGCCCAGTTTTCTCATCTGTAAAAATGGGCGTTAACACCACCTAAACGGTTATTGTGTGAAGAACAACCCAGCGGCAGGAATATACAGCACCTGGCATAATGCCTGGCACAGCAGAGGCTCAATAGATCATGGTAGCCATTAACATTTGTCACCGCAACAGCCATGGTAAATTGATCATCCAGTTTCAGTCTCCAATTCTTAACTACAGTCTGGGCCAAAAGACCATAATAGAGGTCTATAGCTGGCTGCAGACAGAAACAGGTTTTACAGCCAAAAACAATGACACTAATTGCTTCATGTTTATTTTGTCTGCATTCTCACACTCCTAACTCTCTTTAGTATTTACTTCCTGGCCTAGTAAATAATCTCATAATAACTGCCTACTGTTTGTTATGGGTTGAACTGTGTCCCCCCGCAAACCCCACAAATTCATATGTTGAAGTCCTGATCCCAAGTACCCGAGAGTATGACCTTATTTGGAAATAGGGTCATTGCAGATGTAATTAGCTAAAATGATGTTATACCGGAGAAGAGTGGGCACCTAATTAAAAATGACTTGTGTCATAAAAAGGAGAAATTTGGGCATAGACATGCAGCACAGGGAGAACACCAAGTGAAAACAAAGGCAAGGAATATCAAAGACTGCTAGCAAACCACCAGGAACTGGGAAAGAAGCATGGAACAGATTTTCCCTCATCACCCTCAGGAGCCAACCCTGCTGACACCTTAACCTTGGACTTCTAGCCTCCAGAAACTGAGAGACAACAAACTTCTGTTGCTTGAGCCACCCAGTTTGTGGTATTTTTTTTTTTTTAATCTAGCCCTAGCAAACGAATATACCCACTTGTTTATAAGTATCATGAAAATATAAGTGCCCTTAGGAGGGACCACCTACTCTGTGGAACAGAGCTGTCCTACTATATGTTATGTCCCTTCCCTATCTCAGTAACAACTCTATTCTTACTCAGGCCAAAAACCTTGGTCATCCTTGATGTTTTTTTCCTTTTCCAAAACTCTCATCCAGTCTGTCAGCACATCAGCTTTATCCTCAAAATATATCCAGAATCTGGGGCACCTTGCTGGCTCAGTTGGTAGGGCACATGACTCTTGATCTCAGGGTGGTGAATTCAAGGCCCATATCTGGTATGGAGCCTACTTAATTTTTAAGAAAATAAATATAATATAATTTAATATAATATAATATAATATAATAATAAAATAAAACATATCCAGAATCTGACCACTTTCTTAGCATCCTTAGCTATCATGTTGGTCCAAGCCACTACTATCATCTTTCACCTGGATTAAATACAATGGCTCCTGTCTCACTGTTGTAGCCACCCAATCAGAACCCAGAGTTGGTATAAAGATTATTTTAAGATGAAGACATTTGAGATTCAACAGATACAGGGAAAAAAGGCTTCTTTTGAGCTTTCCTCATCTGGCTAAAGGCAGCAACTTCTGGGATGTGAGGCTGCCGTAAGTTCTCTTTCCAAGAGAGTTTTATGGACATGAAGAAGACAAAAGACCTATGCACCCACATAAACAAGGATTATCACAAACTTTCTTATCTCCTGTTTGTTCTTCCTAACTAGAAGCCCTTTTCTTTTCCCCTATTAAGTAAGGTATATAATAAGCCCTATTTTCTAACCATCTCTTTGAGTTATTCATCACTGAATGATGAATAACATCCTGCAAGTATGTGTTTTGCATGTGTACACAGTTCTTTTTTCTCTTGCTAATCTTTCTTCACTTTAATTCGTAGGCCCCCAACAGAGGGGGCCTAACCACTAATCCCACAGAAGATGCAAGCAAAGTTTTTTCTCCTCTACACTGCTTTACCCTTTCTTTTCTACAATCTGTTCTCCAACAACCACCTTGTTAAAACACAGGTCAGATCACATCACTCTTTTCTATATTGGATCCCCACATCACTTAAGAGTAAAAGCCAAAGTCCTTAAATTGGCCTACAACACCATACAATGGGTATCTACATGATTTGGCTCCCTGCTACCTTTCTGACTTCATTTCCTATTATTCTTCCCCTCACTCATCCCATTTCTGGTACACTGCATTCCTTGCTATTCCTGTTGACAAAAGGGATTAATAAAATAGAAAAGCAATTTACAGATAAAAATGCTTTGATGGCATCAATTCAAATATTAGCGTTACATCAAAGGCAAAATGTGTTTCAGGTTATTAGGATAAGAAAGACATCTTTGTTTCAAATTACAAATTCACTCCTTAACTAATTACCTTCTTAACTATATATTTTTTTCTAAATCTACTTTGCAAATAGTCTGACCCACTTGTGGATTGTAAAATTCAACTTACCAGGATTTGTTCTAATGTGACAGAAAAATTGTACTGCAGATGATAAAAGTAAAAATTACTTCACAACACTTGTGTCTAAATGGGCATATTAAATCAACCATGTAAAATATATTTCTTACTTTGGGTCAAGGTCAAAAAATTGGAAAGCCACAGCTCTCAAGGAACCTGTAAATGACCGAACACCCTTTTGATGTAGGATCAACAACCTTCAAGAATGGAAAATACACTTTGTACTCTGTCCCTAAGAAATGGTAGTGGAACAAGCTGAGATGGAGTCCTTGGTCAATTAAATCAGGAAGTTATGAGACAAGAAGTGATTTTAAAGAATCATGCTCCTCAGGAGCAAGTATATGAGGGAACTCACCTATTCTCTTCCATAGATCCTAAAATTTCCTTTTTAAAATATGGCGTTTACAATCTACAAAGCGATTCAACCCGTTTAGTCACTTTATCCTCACAGCAGCTCTCAAGGTGAGGAATGCTGGGATGATTAGCCTCATGTTACGGGAAGCCAGAGATAAATGTCTTGGACAAGGTCCCCAAATGTTCACGCCATGGCTTCCAATTTTGAATAATAATCCACAAGGCCTTCTTTCCTTTGCACAACTGCACACAAGCCTCGGTTAAAATCCCAGCTCTGCCACATACTCTGTAGCATCGGGAAATCCATTCTATGGGATAAAAATATCACTTAAGCCACCCCAAATTAAATGACGCCACCTTAATGAAGGTACTTCGAAATGAAGCAGAGCGCGCTCGCCCCGGAACTCTCATTCCGCGGTCCAGGTTCCAGCTCCAGAGGAACCCAGAGGCCGGAAGCCTCGCGGGGGCGGGGCAATCGAAATTGTAAACAATGACGGCCTGGCCTCCTACGTTCCCCCCCCACAAACCCGGAAGGCGAGCCGCCTGATCCCGATGAGGGGGTGGCATCACTGATTGTGGTCTGCGCCCCCGGATACTCTCTGCAGCCCAGGGCCCGTCCCCCCAAGCTCCCGGCCAAGGCCCGATCGCGTCTGCGTTTGGGGCTCCCTATCGCCCTCCCCCAAACGACACGTCCGACGGAGACACCAGACCCCGAACTCACCCAGCTGGCGAGGGAGAAGACGCCCAGCACGGCCCCCATGGTGACGCTGGTGATGCAGGCAGCGGGTCCGGAGGCTTCTAGCGCGGTGGTAACTGCCAGTCGAGGTGTCTCCTCAGAAACGCGACGTTTTCTCAGGCCGGAAACGCGCGGGTGGCGTCATTGCGTGGCCCCGCCCACCGCCCTCGGCCGCCCCTGCCAAGAGAGCCTCTGCCATTGGCAAAGGTAGAAGGCGGGGCTAAATCAGCATCGAGCTGAGGGAGAAGGTGGAGCTAAACCGACGAGGCGCTAAGGGGGAGGCGGGGCTAAACCGGCCCAGAGGGGAGGGAGGAGGCGGGGCTAACCCAGCCCGGGGCGGAGAGAGGAGGCGGGACTAACCCGGCCCGGCGCGGAGGTGGGAGATGCGGCTAAAGCGGCCCAGAGCTGCAGGAGCTGTGGAGGCTTTATTCCTTCACCTCACTTGTGTTCACTTGGGAGCCCGTTATGTGTCGACATCTGAGGTACAGAAGTGCACAGGAATTTACGGCCTACTTAAAAAAGGAGTCTGACACTGAACATACATGTACCACGACCCGTTGTGATGAGTACCATGAAGTAGTATGAGGGAATATCCTTTCAATAAAAGTTTATTTAATGCTTACTATGTGAGAGGAAAATAATGTAGCGGGGGGGGGGGAGTAATCCCGGAGGGGTGTTCTGAGGAATTTATATTTAATCTGAGAACCGAAAGACGAGTCCAAGCGAATCGGGGAAGGATGGGTGTTGTTTCTGAAAATGAGGGGTATACACGCCACTCGGGGTACACGAAAGGGCCTCGGGGTGCATGAACGCATTAGGTAGCACCGAACGGCAGAGTCAGAAAGCCCTGTTTCAAAACAAAGAGAGTTTGAGACTAGTACTTTACTTAACGTGTTTCTAACATTTGCTTACCTCCATTTTTGACAGAGCGAAGGCTTCATTTTCCAAATCTCTCCAAAAGGTAAGCCCATCTGCAGTTAAATAACATGGTTTTGTTTTAGGGTTTGTGTGTGTGCTTTCCGAAGTTCTTTGATTTCTCCCAAGCAGTGTTATTGAACCCCAAACTGGGCTGCCCGTCGTCGCTCCAAAGGTGGATACTCCAGAGATGATTGCTTGGAAAGGAATAGGAGCTTTGTTCAGGAGGCTGGCCACCTGGAGAGAAGGCACACTCTTGTCCAAAGGCCAACTCCGAGGTTTCTGCCTGGCCCAGGGATTTATTAAGGGGTTTAGGGCAGTTAATCAGTAGAGGGAGTGGGGTGGCCCCAACATTTCTTGATTACGTGCAGACTCGATGGTGCCGGCTACAAACGTTATTGCAGTGCTCAGAGGTTGTGCAAGGCAGTCTGGCTCCTTAGTTCCCCAGGGTTTGTGCAAGAGGGTCTGGTTTCTGTTTTGTGAGGTGCAGAAGTGCTCTGTTCTTTCTAGGAAAGAATGCACGATCTATAGATACACAAAGAAGGGTTAGTTAATCAGTCATTCAGGCTCAGGGTGTTTGCTGAAGTTTAGATTACTAGGTTGGCTGGAGGGGCCAAGGCAGCTTCAGCAATGCTGGTTTTCCATTTAAGAAGTGATGTAAATTTTACTTTGTAAATTTAAGTAAAAACTGAGGGTCTATTTAAAGAAAAAGTTTTGAGAAGTGATTCACATATATACATAAAAGTGCAGGTGGTATGCAGATATGGCAACAATGATGAGACTGTTATACAGATGACTAAGAAGGGAACATTTACCTGGGAATATAAGAACCTGTAGAGTTTGGAATCCTAGAATATTTAGATTGGAAGAAGCCTTAGAAATATATTTGAATCTGTTTTTTTACAGAAATGGAAAAAGGCTCAAAGTGGAATGGTTTACCCCAGGCCACAGAAAGGGTTGATGGCAGAGGAAGGAGAATTACTCAAGCTTTCCTAATTCCCACCTGAGCCCTTCACCCCACCACCCCCCAACCCCTACCACCAAATGCCTGCCCAAGCCAGGTTGCTTTGCGATCACTGAAAGTGATCCTTCCAGATAACCCTTAAAATCCTTATGTCTTTCTGTTTGGGTACTGCTGGACTGGGCTGAAGAAAGCTAAGACTATGATAAAGTCCACAATCAAATCCCATCAGGAACATACCTGTACTCAAAAAAGAATCAGATTTATTTAGCTTGTTCAGCAAGGGAGAATTCACATCAGAGAAAACATGAGGTATCTTGCTAACAGAGAATTGGGAAGAGCTTATTGTAGGATTTGGGTTTGTGCTGGGTATCTGTAAGGAGGGTTTAAGCAAGTGGGGAACGGTTTTGAATTGGATACAGTCAAGAAGCAGGGGCAATTCAGTGGTTAGCTATCTTACTGTTTTACCCAGGAGGTGGGAGGATTGAAGTGGGGCCAGAGTTATGACTGAAAAGGAAGCAGGACACACTCATGTTAGGAGGATGTTGTCATTATTTGTGGTTCCACAGTGGCCTTGTCCTTGCCTTGTTCCAACTACAGAGTGGCCTTGTCTGATACTTGTTTACATTCTGTGAGCGCTGTTTAAGTTCAGTGAGGAACATTGGGTCCAGCTGGAAGCTGAAAAAGTTTCATTTTCTCGTCTGTGGGATCCTGCCCATCTCTCAGGGTTTCTGACCCTAAGTGGTTGAGTGTTCCTCTTCTAGGTGGCAAAAGTGGGGAAAGTGGATCATTTGCTCCAGTTTTCCACCTCATGCAGGAACCCCTCAGCAGCATCTCCTCTGGGGTGGGGAGCTCACTGCCAACCAAGGCAGCCCCTCCTATCTTTACATGTTGATTGTCAAAACTAGGTTGTTTTTTCCGCTGTAAGGGGGGAAATTTTTCCTCTACCCTCTAGGTTCAGAGATGGGGCTGGGGAGGCCTGGAGGCTTTTATACCATTCTGACAAAGGATGATAAATTTTAAATTTGTAGAGAAGAATAAGACAATGAAAAGGAGTTTAGGCTATTAGGGAAGCAGACTGTGGGAAGGTAAATACAAGGGAGAAACTAATGGAAGATAAGGATTGTTTTAGTAAGGTGTGTTATGTAGACTTCTCTCACTGATAAAAGTCTGGAGTTAGTGATCTCCTATGATTAACTTCTGCTCTTCCTGATGGAGAGGAGGGGGGCAACAGAAATTTATAAGGGTGAGAGCAGAGAACTTTACTGTGTCTTCTCAAATACTTTCAGCTCAAAATAATCCTTATGCCAAAGTGGCATATTCTGATTCGTTACATTCATATATATTGTTTGAAAAGATAATACAGGTACTTGGTTTTTAGAAATACTGCATAGAAGAACATACAGTGAAAATGTATCATCTTACCCCCTCATCTCCCAGATCTCTTTCCAAAGTTCATATATGCATATGTCAGCATTATATGTATTATGTCATTCCCTTTTTACATGTGGTAGCATTCCAACCACATAGGGGTGCATGATTGCTTTTTTCACTTTTTTCATTTATTCAATAAATATTTACCACGCCCTTACTATGTGCCAGGCAGTTCCCAATGATGAGAAAGCAGCAGGGAACAAAACAAAATGCCTGCCCTTAAAAGAGCTTCTGCTGTAGCGAAAAGAGACAAATAACAAACAAAGATAAAATGTCAGATACTGACAAGAGCTGTGAAGAAAAATAATAAAACAGGCGAGGAGAACACAGAGTTGGTGGGGCTCTGCTATTTTAAATAGAGTAGTCAGAGCAGGTATTTTTGAAGACCTGATATTTGAGCAGAGATACTAAAGAAATGAGAAAGCAAGCTGCAGCGATATCTGGAAGAAGAGTGGTCCTAACATGGAACAGCAAGAGGAAAGGCCATGAAACAGAAGCATGTGTTAACAAAATTCAACCAAGTAAATTTGAAGATCTAATTGGCTTTATTAAGTGATTCATCAATCCAGTAGCTCCCATCTAGTAAGTAGAGAGGCACTCCCAAGGAGTTATACAAAATGGAAGCTTTTATAGGAGAGTGAGAACAAGAAAGTTATTAGCAAAAGGAAAGGATTTTTCTAGGCAAGGCCACTTTCTAGGCGAAAAGCAAGTTGTCTTATCATGCAGATTACCTTGTCCTTCTTTGGGGCATGGAAAGGGCCCAGGTGGCAGACCCTTTGGTGAGGATTGAAAAATTCCTGGCTGACTGGTTAAGACTATATTTCTGGGGGAGGTTGAAACTGCAATTAGATTTCGTATTGAGCACCATTTGGGAATTCTAAATGACACCATTTTGGGCCTGTGTTGTTGTTTTTTTTTTTAAACACAGGCTACCTAAAAACAAGGCCAGTGTGGCTGGAGCATAAACAAGAGGGAAAATGATGAGAGATGAAGCTGAACATGGTAACAACTCTGGATTTTACTCTAAATGTGATGGGATAACTGTTGAAAGGTTTTGAGCAGGGCGAAGGACGTGATCATGCGCAACATTTTGAAAAGGACATTTTGGCTGCAGGGTGGAGAACAGACTGGGGGCAGGGTTGGGTAAGGTTGGGAGTAAGAGTGGAAGCAAAGACAGACTAGTTAGGAGACCACTGGTATAAGGGTAGCTTAAAGATAGGTCTTTAACGAAACTATATTCACATCTATGTCTACTTCGGTCTCTCTTAATTCTTGCTGTAGTAATTCATTTTACGGGAGCAATGGATATCCTTTGTGCTCACCTTCCAGTATATCTGCAGGATTATTTCAAGAAATACAATTGCCGGTCAGAAGCTAAAGTAAACTTGCCATATTGGAATGAAATCTGATGATCTAATTCTCACCTTGAGTCCAAAGAAACAAGTTTATTCATTCTTTGCCACACGACCCCGTCTGAGATTAAAGGGAAACGCATCTGCCACTCCTCCCACATCAGTTTTCTCGACTTTAAATGTTCCCAGTCTAGCAAGCTTCTGCCTATGGCCCTGTTCTCCCCTCGAACCGTCCCCGTATCTGGTTACAGAGAGACAAGCTGAGGCAAAGGCAGGGTCCGAGGTACAAGTCCCCACCCCTCCCCCGCCTTACTGTCTCCTTTTCCCTCAGCATTCCTTTCCTTTCCCCTTCTCCCGGGGCCAAGTTCCAGGCTGCCAAACCCCACCTTGGTCCCTCGCGGCTCAGGACGCCAACTCAAACTCCTTTTCCTTCCTCCGGCCGCTCGGAGGCCGCGGAAGGGGACGCGAACACTCCCGGTCCCTTCCGAGCCGCCGTAGCGCCCGCTGCGGGAGTTCGGCAGCTCCGGTCGCCAAGGCAACGCGCTCCGCTGCGCGCTGCGGGCGCCAAGCAGCCCGGCGGAGGCGCAGC